GCGAAGTCACCGTTCCTGCCGCTTTTCTCAGCCGTCTTGGCAATCATCGTATTATTGTTACCTACGCGAACTGGCGTGCCGTCGTCGTTCAATAACGCACGCCATCTTGGCTTGTCCAAGCGCCCTAGCTGTCTGTGCTTTCTGTTCCGTGTCGTGCCCCTCGTTGCACACACAAATCGCGTTTTGTAGCCGCCCGTGCCAAAACCACATTGTGTTTTAAGTTGCCGTTATCGTCCGCGCGGTGTGTGCGCAGTGCGATCCGCCGTGTTCGTCACGTGGTTACGAGCCTTCCCGTTCGTCGACTGTTTGTTCGTCCAAGTCGACGTGTGGGTGTGCCGCCGCAGCCCGGTCAACTTCCAGCTGCCCATTATCGTTGCCGGCGGGACAACGGTAGCACCATCAGTTGTCACTTGTCAATACCCGCTATCAGCTGCAGTATCGTCGCTATCAGGTCGTACACAGCTGATTTCATTTGTTTATGTTCTTCCGTTACCCGACGTGGTATTATGATTTATATCAATTTTTTTGTAATTTTATTATTGTTCTTTTTTTGTCCCTCTGTATTGGCGACCGCTTGTGGTTGCCCCCACCTACTACTAACATAGTTTGTAAGCATCTTCACCTGTTAGCAACGTTTTAATATATTCGTCATATTCCGTGATAATTTTCATACAACAACAACGTTATTGTTATTTCTCTCGCTGTAGTTTTCCGTCATCCATTTTTCTATTTACCTACCTATTACAGTCATCTACCATCGCACGACAATTACCATAATCGGGAGCGGGCAATACCTGACGATCATATTTTTAATTCAGGTTGTTCCTCCATACAAATACTCTAGATTTTTAAAATTTATAGCCGTTACAGATGGCGTGTTCAATTCGTAAGTACAATTCAAACAAGACTGGTAAAGGATTTGTAAACTCCCTTATAAATAGTCTCCCGTTCGAATTCCATGTTTCAGGATATCAGTATTGTGGTCCTGGCACGAAATTAAAAAGAGACTAGATCGTGGTGATAAAGGAATAAACCCATTGGATGCTGCTTGTCGTGATCACGATATTGTGTATGCAGCGAGTAAAAATTTAGACGATAGACATAAAGCTGATAAAGTGTTAGAAAATCGTGCTTGGGAAAGATTTAAAGCAAAAGATACACCTAGAAAAGAGAAATTAGTTGCGTACGCAGTAACAAACATAATGAAAGCTAAAAGAAAAATAGGTATGGGTTGTAAACGGAAAAGTGCTCTAAAACCAAATGGAATACTAGCAGCGAAGAAAAAAGAATCTTAAGAAAAGAATGGTGGTAAAAGACTGATTTTAGCACCGAGACGGTCAGGAGGTGTAATTCCCTTAATACCTAATTGCAGGATTGTCAGCACTTGGTAGTTTGATGCCTGGAGGTGCTAGTGTGTATAATGCGGTTAAAAATTCAAAAAGAACCCAAAGGTAGTGGTATGAAACAAACAAGAATAGGTTAAGAAAAAAAAACTGATGATCACGCTACCTGACAGCACGCCTCATGAATATTATAAAATATACCGTAAAAAATTGAAAACCAATCATTTCGTGGAGTCTTTTCACGTGATAACTTACCTGAAAAACCGCAAGCTATTGAATGTGGTATATTAAACTTGGATATATCTTCAGGCGATGGAAGCCATTGGGTATCGTTTTATAAAAATAAGGACAAAGTTGTATATTTTGATAGCTTTGGTGATTTACCCCCACCAATTGAATTACAACATTATTTCAGACAGTTCAAAATAGTATATAACTATTCCAACTATCAAGACTTCAATACATTTAACTGTGGTCATTTATGTCTTGAATTTTTACAATGCATGAATCTATTACATTAAGTTTGACTGGAAATTCAACTGTATTATCTGTAAATTATTTTCCGCCTATAAACCTTTACGATGACTCAGAAATGGCTTTGTTATGTTTACAGTCATTTAATTCATTCCCAAATATTAATGAAAATAATAATAAATTTTCTATACAAGTAGTTGATAATGAAAACAATAATAATCCTACGATATGTTTTATTACATTGGAAGAGGGTTGTTATGAAATTGAAGATATTAAGGATCGAGTTAAGAAGCAAATAGTTGCCTATGATAGTAAAAACTTAACCAATTTAACATTCGACATTACGGTTGATCCTGATGATTTCAGATCGTATATAAAATGTAATGGGATACTACACTTTGAATATCCATATAGTATAGCACCTGTATTCGGTTTTGAAAAACGAGTATATAATCCATACAACATTCTTCGATCGGAAAAAGCTGTAAATTTAAACACAATTAATTCTATAAAAGTAATGTGTAATATAGCTCAAGGATCATTCAGCAACCATCTTCAGAGTCATTCGATTTATGAGTTTTTCCCGAGTGGAAGACAGGTTAGGTTTTTCTTCAGGGAGCCGTGTTGAATGCATTCTTCACATCTAGAGACACAGCCACGCAAATATCCCTGTGCTGTGCCGCGCCTAACGCTGTGCCGCGCCTAACGCTGCGCCGTGTGCGGCGTTCAGCAGTCGTTCCATTGCGTCAGAGGTCGAGCTGCCTTGGCGAAACCCGTATTGGTTTGGTGATCTATGACCGGTGCTATCGAGGTGCGTGTCGAGTCTTGCCAGAATTAGCCGCTCTAAGAGTTTCCCCGAGGAATCAAGCATACACAGCGGCCTATAGCTGGACGGTTCGGTTATCGGCTTGCCGGGGCCTTTGTGCAATAGTACCAGTCTGGATTCCTTCCATCGGGAAGGGAAGGTGGTGTTGGCCAAGCAGTTGTTGTAGACGCTGAGTAGGATGTTAGGCTTCCGGAGGAACACCTTGGCTAGAACCTCGTTGGGGATACCATCGGGGGCCGGTTTGCCTTACCGGGGGAAGTCTTTGCAGGCTTGGCCAGTTCGGCCAGGGTGAAGTCTTCAACGGTTTCATCTTCTGCGGTTTCTGGTAGGTGGGGCTCGAGTGCCCAGTCCGTCGCTGGGGGGTTCGGGAAGAGGTGATCGGCGATCTCTGACTCCATGCCGCGGGCTTCAATTCCTGGACGTCGACGACCGATGCGTTTGGTGACGACTTTGTAGGGAAGACCCCACGGGTCGGAGTCAACGGATCTGCATAGGTCGGACCAGCATTTAGCCTGGTCAACATAAGGCGATTTAAATTTATCAGTCATCACTCAAGTCCATAGAGGAAAATCATAGCAATAACGTTTCAAATCTTTTATTAATCCTGGTAAGTAGTATGCTGATTCCCTATTGCCTTCAATTAATGCATCAATATTACTTTCATTTTCTACTTCATCAATGAAAATCTTAACTTCGTCTTGCTCATAGATTGTTATTGGATTTTCATCTAACTCCTCACTTGCATTTTCTAAATGGTGGATTTCCAATTCCTCAGAGTTATTTTCTTTGTATGATGTAGAGTCTATTAATGACAATAAAAATATTCTACTACTTTCTGAAGAATTTGGTTTCGTATTATTGTCATCTAGATAACCATCTGTGTGACTTAAAATAACTGTCATTAATGATTTCAATATTTGTTTGAACATTTCTAACGTTGTTGAAGTTAATAACAATCGAAATCCGCGTACATAAAATTCTTTTAATCGTTTGTTTCTAATTTCATTAAGTATTTTTAAACCAGTTAATTTAATTTCCTGTTCATAAAAACCACCTAAGATTATATTGTCTGATTCATCCTTTAGTTGATAAGTTACTGGATTTGTCTGTAAAACTTTTGAAACTGTAAATATTTCCGTTGTCCAATTTGGTGTATATCCTTTACTAAATATATGTTTATACTTAGATATTCTTACTTTATCATTAATTTTAAATTTTGGATTACATAATGTATCATTTATTTGTGTATTAAATTTAATTTTGTTTGTATCCATTCGAGCTTCATTCGGTGTACATTTGATTGTTCTATGTTTTGTATTATTATAATTTTGTGTAATTTTTGATAGTGTATTATACCAATTCCATGTACCAGTAGCAGTAAAATGTCTATATATATTATTTTTAAGACTCTGGATCACGCGTTCCGCGATTGCACATATAATAACACTGTATGAACTGTAATGTTTAATTCTGTATTTTTTCATTAAATCTTGAAATTGATCATTGTAAAATTCTGTACCATATCTGTCTGTAATAATTTCGTATGAGCTTTTTTCAATAGGTATATTAAACATACCTTTTGTACATTCTTTCGATGTTTTATTTTTCAACGCCTCAAGCCATACGTACTTACTATATGTATCTATGACAACTAAAATATACTTAAAACCATAATTTTGTTTAGAATGAGATTGCATGTCCATTAAATCAGCTTGCCAGAGGTCATCAATAAACCGCGTTACTAGTTACTACACTGCGTCTAGGAAATATTTTTCTCGCTGGCCGATGTAACTCATTAGCTATACTCTCTAAGGTAGTCATTATACTATAATATTTCTCTCACGTAGTTCTTCTAAAATAGATATTATTTCATTATTCACACCAGTATTACCAACACTTTGTGATGATGTCAAAAGATTTAATCTAGTTACTAGCTCATTCGGATCGTCATAATAAACTAATTGGGTTTGAGGTAAGACATCTTTATATAAACCAGAACCTTTCATAGTCTTTGGTGATGAAGTAAAATTAAACATCTTTTCAACTACGGTATTTGCAGACATGGAACTGTTTGCTTCTGGATTAAAATCAAATGGTTCAAATTCTTGTGTTATTTTTCTGCGTTTAGCGCTTGAACTAGATAAATGATTGTTAAATGATTTTAAATTAATTCGAGGAGTTGTATTCTCATTAATTTTACTTATTTCTTCGTTAAACTGTTTTTCCTCCATTTTCATTCGATTATACAGTGGTTTTACAACAGTCACCCATTTATGGTACCTCGAGGTTCTAGGCTTTCCATCTCCTTTTAAATGGACTCCACTATTTTTCAATATATTGTAATAAGATTCTATATCTGCAATAGTTGTATTTATTAAGCAACAGTAATTTGCCGTGACTAAAAGTAACAGAATGTTTTCCTATTTTATATGAATCACTATCTTTATCATAATACATACCATAAGATTTATCATAACGTGTTGATTTAGGATGGTTATTTAAAAAAATTTCATATGATGAATTTAATTCATCATCATTATCTTCTTCACTTATGTAGGAGGTCTCTGATTTATTTTCTAGTACCTTCGACTGTGTGTTATATATTTCATTTTGTTATGCATGTGTACTCAATGGTTCAATTATCGGCTTAAATGCTTCACGGAAATAGTTTTCAGAATCTATAACACCACGTTTCATTTCCATTATTTTTCGTTGTATATTTTTTTTTGATGTTATTAAATTTTCCAACAAGACTTTTTCTTTGTTCATTGTAAATAATAAATGTAATATACCTGTATCGTATGACTACTGATGACACTATGTAGATAATAACTGTGTGACGGTATATTTATATAAACACATAAAATTATTTTATTTTAATGAATGTATGAAAACCACATCTATACCTTCCTTCATTCATTTCTCGAGTTTTATTGATGACCATAAACCCATAATAGCTATGATTCCAGCATAAATGAGAAATTTTCCGAAATTCTGAGAATTCCGTATCTGCAGACGAATGATTGTTGAATATATGTCGTAAATTTGTATCATCTTGTTTCAGTATTATTAAAAGTTTGCGTTATCTCTTACAAGCTGTTTTGATATTTTAGAATATGTCTGTGCTAAATAAAATACGGAGCTGGCACCTGAATGCCTACCAATGCTAAAGTATTCCCTGATTAAAGATTGTGGGCCTCATATCACATCATCAAAAATTATAATAGAATTTTTCTTCGTTAAGTTTGGTTTTATAACCTTATCAGCGCTTGTAAATATGAAAAAATTAGTACATTTTATATCATCTATTATTTTTTTCAATAAAACATATTTTTCCTGATTAGAGGTTTTCGAGTATAAATAAATATTTTCAAATCTTAACCCGTTTGCATGTGTGATCAGATTATACATTATATTTGTTTTTCCTGAGCCACTGGGACCAACTAGTATAGCACGTATAGTATCGGGTAATAACGAGCCGTGTCTTGATGGTTTTTTTACTACCTGAACATCTACATTTATTACATCTAATTTATCTTTCTGTTCAATCAAATTCATATTATTTTCATATAAATACTGTTCGGTGCGTATGCCCGGTCTTGGACTTTGCCCCGCGTTATCGCTATTACTTTGGACACCGTGCGACCGTTCCGATATCTCCGGAGAGAGAAGTGTTATCGGTGTGTCGCCGACGGTCTCATCCCCGCTGCATGCAGTCCGACGCAGTGCCTCTTGTCGCGAAGTCACCGTTCCTGCCGCTTTTTCTCAGCCGTCTTGGCAATCATCGTATTATTGTTACCTACGCGAACTGGCGTGCCGTCGTCGTTCAATAACGCACGCCATCTTGGCTTGTCCAAGCGCCCTAGCTGTCTGTGCTTTCTGTTCCGTGTCGTGCCCCTCGTTGCACACACAAATCGCGTTTTGTAGCCGCCCGTGCCAAAACCACATTGTGTTTTAAGTTGCCGTTATCGTCCGCGCGGTGTGTGCGCAGTGCGATCCGCCGTGTTCGTCACGTGGTTACGAGCCTTCCCGTTCGTCGACTGTTTGTTCGTCCAAGTCGACGTTGTGGTGTGCCGCCGCAGCCCGGTCAACTTCCAGCTGCCCATTATCGTCGTGCCGGGACAACGGTAGCACCATCAGTTGTCACTTGTCAATACCCGCTATCAGCTGCAGTATCGTCGCTATCAGGTCGTACACAGCTGATTTCATTTGTTTATGTTCTTCCGTTACCCGACGTGGTATTATGATTTATATCAATTTTTTTGTACATTTATTATTTGTTTCTTTTTTGTCCCTCTGTATTGGCGACCGCTTGTGGTTGGCCCCCACCTACTACTAACATAGTTTGTAAGCATCTTCACCTGTTAGCAACGTTTTAATATATTCGTCATATTCCGTGATAATTTTCATACAACAACAACGTTATTGTTATTTCTCTCGCTGTAGTTTTCCGTCATCCATTTTTCTATTTACCTACCTATTACAGTCCACTACCATCGCACGACAATTACCATAATCCGGGAGCGGGCAATACCTGACGATCATATTTTTAATTCAGGTTGTTCCTCCATACAAATACTCTAGATTTTTTAAATTTATAGCCAGTTACAGATGGCGTGTTCAATTCGTAAGTACAATTCAAACAAGACTGGTAAAGGATTTGTAAACTCCCTTATAAATAGTCTCCCGTTCGAATTCCATGTTTCAGGATATCAGTATTGTGGTCCTGGCACGAAATTAAAAAGAGACTAGATCGTGGTGATAAAGGAATAAACCCATTGGATGCTGCTTGTCGTGATCACGATATTGTGTATGCAGCGAGTAAAAATTTAGACGATAGACATAAAGCTGATAAAGTGTTAGAAAATCGTGCTTGGGAAAGATTTAAAGCAAAAGATACACCTAGAAAAGAGAAATTAGTTGCGTACGCAGTAACAAACATAATGAAAGCTAAAAGAAAAATAGGTATGGGTTGTAAACGGAAAAGTGCTATAAAAACAAATGGAATACTAGCAGCGAAGAAAAAAAGAATCTTAAAGAAAAAGAATGGTGGTAAAAGACTGATTTTAGCACCGAGACGGTCAGGAGGTGTAATTCCCTTAATACCTATATTTGCAGGATTGTCAGCACTTGGTAGTTTGATGTCTGGAGGTGCTAGTGTGTATAATGCGGTTAAAAATTCAAAAAGAAAAAAAAGGTAGTGGTATGAAATCAAACAAGAATAGGTTAAGAAAAAAAACTGATGATTACGCTACCTGACAGACCGCCTCAAGATATTATAAAATATACCGTAAAATTGAAAACCAATCATTTCGGCCGTAAAACGTTTGGACACACAACGATTTTTTTACCTGAGATTCGGGAAAACGATTGGGAACACACGTTTAGGTACACTTTTTTTCAGACCCCAAATTTCAATACAACGTTTGGGCACATAATATTTTAAAATTAATACTACGTTTAGGTACACATTTTTCATATTTTAATAATTTCATTTTGTCATATTATATTAACATATTTGGTCATTCATTACAAAATACTTTTAAAATCTTATTTTATTTATTTATTTATCTTTATATATTTATTTTACATTTTATTTTTTAGAGCCTATTAGCGTTATCCAGGAGACACCACGAGGAGGTTAGCTCTTATAGTCTCCCAAAAATTGTTATTATTATCTTTATTGTTATTAATATTTAAATTATTTAATTTTGTCATATTATATTAAAATATTTGGTTTTTATTATAAAAATACTATTTAAATCGTATTTTATTTATTTACTTAATTATATTTATTTTGTTTTTCCTACAAAAAGTGGACCGATGTCATGTAGATAATTCCTTATATCATTGTCAACTTTAAACTCACTGTATTTTTTTTAAATATAACCAACTTTATCTGGTTTCGCATTCAAATCTGTAGTTGCCT